TGTTCATCGACGACATTCTTGTATATTCAAAAAATCAAGAAGACCATGCAAAGCACCTGGTGATAGTACTCAGTGTACTACGAGAACACAAACTGTATGCAAAGTTATCCAAGTGTGAATTTTGGCTTGATGAAGTCACATTCCTTGGTCATGTGATTTCGAAGGAAGGTGTTAAAGTGGACCCTAGCAAAATATCTGCCATCATCGAGTGGAAGGTTCCAAGGAATGTTCGTGAAGTGAGAAGTTTTCTAGGATTAGCTGGATACTATCGACGATTCGTTAAAGGTTTTTCCTCGATCGCAACTCCACTTAACAAACTTTTGAGAAAAGATGTGAAATTAGTATGGACCGACGCATGTCAGCAAAGCTTTGAAAAAGTAAAGAAATGTCTGACAGAAGCACCTGTACTGACACAACCAGTACCAGGTATAGACTACACAATCTTTAGTGACGCATCTCATAATGGCTTGGGATGTGTACTCATGCAAGACGGAAAAGTCGTGGCATACGCGTCAAGGCAGTTAAAGCCTCATGAATGTAATTATCCTACTCACGATCTTGAGCTAGCAGCAGTCGTATTTGCTCTGAAGATATGGCGTCATTATCTCTTCGGAGAAACAACATATATTCATACAGACCATAAAAGTCTGAAATACCTGTTAACTCAAAAAGAGTTGAACCTGAGACAGAGAAGATGGCTAGAACTTATTAAGGATTACAACTGTTATATCGACTATCACCCTGGTAAGGCTAACGTAGTTGCTGACGCTTTGAGCCGAAAGATGATAGTTGAACTCCGGATCCAGCCTACTCTTGAGAATGAAATTCATGCTGCACAAAAATGTGACGACTATTGTTTGAAGACTTGTGAAATTGTCTCTAAGGGGGAGAGACAAGATTTCACTGTGACTGATGGAATTTTATTCTACAGAAACCGTTTGGTAGTTCCTAGTGGAGAAGTAAGAGAGCGTTTAATGCGTGAATCTCACGAAACCACATATACCATGCATCCTGGTAGTAATAAGATGTTCCAGGATCTGAAGAAAACATATTGGTGGCCCACAATGAAGCGGGAAATCTCGGAATTTACAACACGATGTCTAACGTGTCAACAAGTCAAAGCGGAACACCAAGTGCCAAGTGGATTGTTGCATCCACCCATTATTCCTGAATGGAAGTGGGAACAAATTACGATGGACTTTGTGATCGGACTTCCATTATCAGCCAAGAAGAATGATGCTGTGTGGGTAATCGTTGATCGATTAACCAAATCATCTCATTTTATCCCAATTCGACGTGATATGTCTTTAAAGAAATTGGCAGAATTGTACATTTGTGAGATCATAAGGTTACATGGTGTGCCTTTGTCTATCATTTCCGATCGTGACCCGCGATTCACGTCACAATTCTGGAAGAGTTTGCAAAAGGCCCTAGGTACTAAACTCAACTTTAGTACGTCATTTCATCCTCAAACGGACGGACAATCTGAAAGAACAATTCAAATTCTAGAAGATATGATGAGAGCTTGTGTAATAGATTTTGGAAGCAACTGGGAACAATACCTACCATTAATGGAATTTGCTTATAACAACAGTTATCAAGCTAGTATCCAAATGGCCCCGTATGAAGCTCTGTATGGGAGACGTTCTAGAACCCCAGTATGTTGGACAGAGTTAAGCGAGCAAAAACTTGAAGGACCTGATCTTGTTCGAGAAACGGAAGAAAAGGTTCATCTGATCAGAGAAAGGCTACAAGTGGCTACTGACCGACAGAAATCTTATGCCGACTTGAAACGTCGTGAGATTGAATACAACATGGATGACAAGGTATTTCTGAAAGTATCGCCTTGGAAGAAAGTGTTGCGATTCGGTAGGAAGGGAAAACTGAGTCCAAGGTATATTGGACCATACCGAATCACTGAACGTGTAGGTCCAGTAGCCTACCGGTTAGAACTTCC